TACTGAATAGATGTTGGAACATTTATGTAGTTATTGAAATATCGTACCTGAGGAGGTGGTCAAGGATTTTTGTAAAATTAATGAAGGTTTGAGCTAGAGATTGAAAAATGATGAAAAAATTGTACCCGATTCTCCATTTTTTTATTGATCACGCAACTTAACTTGTTTTCTGAGCAACTTTGACCAACACATTCTTTTAGCTATTCGTTCATGGAATCCAAAGCAGCAGAGAAGATTAAAAAACTAACAATATTGTGGATTCCTCGACAAACTTGTTTTTGACCTATTGCGGAATCCGTCCGCTTAAAATTCACAACAAATACAGTTTGGCCTCGTAATGAACCGTTTGTTAACTCCGCGTTTTGTTTTTTTTAGGCTCAACGGAGGAGTGCAATCACAACTAACAAACCCTAAGTTATCTACAAAATGAAGTCAGCAACCTTTCAAGACATTATCTTGCAAATTGTAAGCATACCCGCACTGAAGTTTCATGGATAATAATCGATTATATTGGATTTTTATTGTCAGTCTCTACAAAATAACAAAAATAATCGATTATAATCGATTGAAAATGGATTATAATAATAATAATTTTTAAAGCAATAAATTCCCAATATAATCGATTATAATCGATTATAATCGATTATTTTCAAAAAAAAATTTCAAAAGAAAACTAATCCATTTTAATCAATTATAAAGGATTATAATCTATTTATTCAAATATTTTTGTGTGTTGTTTTCATGTTTTCATAATTTTGTTAAACTTAAGTTAGTTATTTTGTTTTAATTTCTTTTCGCTTAATTTCTTTTTTTCCTATTTTCAATCGTGTTATTGAAAAATTATAAAAAGTTACCTATAGATCGCCAACCAACCCCCCACCCCCACCTCTTACTAGAGTTGATGTCCCCCCTCACCTCTTACTAGAGTTGATGTCCCTTACTAGAGTTAGATGTCCCCTAACAAGAGAGAGAGAGGGGGCACGTCGTGGTTGCGGGTTTCGTGGTGGGATGGGTAAATGTGAGGTGGTTACGTCGTGGGTTGGGGGGTACGTTGAGGGGGGGTAGGTTGGGGGGGGGTACGTTGGTGGGGGGGGGGTAAGTTGGGGCCGGGGGGGGGGGGGTGGGGTCGTTGACGTGAAGAGCTGGTCAAAAATGCTGTTTTTGGGCAATTTTTGGAAAATTACTACATATTGGTGTAGTTCAATTTTTGCAGAATGTTGCAGAAATTAGAGTAATTATTTACAAAATTTATTCAATTTTCATGGATTTTATGTTCTTCTGTTATAATTTAGCAAAATAAGAGAAAAAGATTGCTCATGATGATGGTGAGCAACAAGCTGACGCCTTTGTTATTTATCAACTTGAAATGCAGTAAACTTTAGCATACAATGTAAGTTTTTATCAGAAGTAAAATATTTTGATAATTTCATGTTTATGGCCTCTTATTAGAAGTGGATTATATACAGTGATAGAAAAATTAATGGAAAGCTTTTCCTTAAAGATTTTGACTTTGTTATTATGAAAGCATTTTAACATAAACGCCAGTTCTGCTTATTGGATCAACCTTACAAAACCTCTTTTAAGTGACTTACCATAGAATATCCTTCCTATCGATGCAAAAAAAATGAAAATTGATTCCGCATTGAAAACGCAATTTAAGGGTTGTTTGAGATTTAACAATTAAATATTTTTTATGTTAAAGTTACTAAAAACGACAAACTCATACCTAGTTTTTGATTATTTGTTAAAAGTAGATTGCAATATTTTTCTTTTAAATTTACCAGTATTGTTATGAAATGGACTGCAATCATTTTTACGCAAAAGATATAACAAAAACCTAAAATAATTGATCTGAATCCATTTTAAATCGATTGAAATGGATTTTTTAAAAGTTGTAGCTACATTGTGTGATTAGAATCAATTGCAACCTTTTCATGTCAGTACGGTTAACTTTGAACAAAAATTAAATTGATGTAAAAGTTCAAAAAGTAAACGCAAAGAGTTATGATTAAATTTTTTGGGCATTTTTAAACAGATTATTTGCAGACTTAATTCAAATTTTCTCGTTTATTTAAATCGAATTAAAATGAAAACAAAAATTAAAAGGTATGCTTTTTGATTGATGTTTCGAGTTGGTGATTGACACAAATCATGATTATAACTAAAATGAAATTTCGCTGCACAATTGAGTTTTTCATTTACCTATTAAATTGCGCCTAAAACGTGGATAATGAAAATAACTTCTGGAGGAATTTTTCTTACTTTTTGTTACCGCGGGAACCCTTACATTTGCTTAACCTGAAGACAACTTTTTTCAATTCTTTAACTTGCGTTGAAAATCTCCCCGCTAGTGACGCTTGCTTTCTGTAGCATGCTGTTGCTATTTTTTCGAGTAAAAATATTTTGCTTGCTCAAGTTTCATTATAAAAAATTTAGGTTGTTTAATTCAAATTTTTTCAGATATAGATGGAATTCATTACCATGCAAAATCAATTCAAACGAATTTGAAGATTTTATCAAGCAGAAAAAAATAGATATACTTTTTTTATTTAAAAATCGTTTCTCTATTCGAAATCAATTATCTAAAAGCACAAATTCGATTTCAATCTCAAATTTGCCAGTTCTACTCGGTACTGGAAAACACTACGTTTATCCCCTTGATGGTTTTCAGAGGGTAAAGGGGTGCATACTTTTGCAGTTAAATATAATAAAAGTTCGGTATCTAATTCTGTTTTCATCAATTTTGTGTCTCTTTCAATGTGAAAAAAATTTCATAGCCGTTAATCTCAAAACTGACGCAATTTTGAACTTTTTTGTAGGTAATCACGGCTGACAGGTGTCAATCTGATACTACGCCTAAAATTGTTAATTTAAAACAGCAAGACCTAGACTTGGCTAACAAGACCTTTTTGTGTCAGAGTAAATGTTGTAAACGATTCTCTATACAGGACCGAGGATCTAAGACCATCTCTCAAATTTCATCCTCTGATAGTTAACCAGGACATTCAATTTTTGTTGAGTGATACTTTTTTTTCTAAAGGCGACTACCGTACAAATGTATAATATTTTTAGTTGGGTAGCGCTGTTTTGCCAAACTGTTTTAAAGTATGCCTTAAACGCTTTTTTCTGCGCAAAATTTGGTTAAAATAAGATCTTTGCGGTCAAGATGAATGATGATTCAAATTAAGTTCTCACACCTTTAATTTTAGGATCAATTTTGAGCTACTCATAAAATCCAGGTCAACATAAAATATCAAGTTTTTCAATTTTTCTTGAGAACAGTTTCAATTTTTCTTTTGGTTAAAAATCGAAACAAAAAATAGCTACTTAAATCATTTTTGTTCAGATTAAGATGGATTTCATTACTAATCAATTTTAGCGAATTTAAATTAATTTTGAGGCAGAATAAAATATTTACTTTTTCTACTTCTGTAAAACTCCAACTAATCTAGTCTTACTATCCTCAAATTGCTACATCATTTTTAATCTCAAGTTTTCCAGTGCCAGTAGGCTCTAAAAAGCCTGTTTTTCCCTAATTTGGGAGGAGGAAGGGTGTGCCGACTAATTTGGAGTTAAGTATATGGAAAATCCGTCCGAAATTTTTCTAACCTCATCATTTTTTTGGGATATTCGGTAAAAATCAGAGCCATTTATCCCAAAACAGAATGTTTTTTTTTAAATTTTCTGGTCGCGAATCAAGGCTGAAAAAAAAACTATCATTCTCATTATTTCTTGGGTACAAGTTTTTGGTTTAATTTCGAAACAAAAAGTTAGATAGAGCAAATCAATTTTGTTCACATTTAGATGGATTTCATTACCTTGCCAAATCAATGATAGTGAATTTAAATCAATTTCGAGGCAGAAAAAAATTTATACTTTTTTGTTTCTGTAAAACTCCAACTAATCCATTCTAAATAGTCTTACATGTCTAAAAGCGCTACTTCGATTTCAATCTCAAGTTTTCCAAAGCCGATAAAAAGCACGTATTTTATCCCTAATTTGGAAGGAGGAAGGGTGTGTCGACTAATTTGCAGTAAAGTACATTGAAAATCCGTCCGAAATTTTGTTCTATCCTCATCAATTATTCGTTTTTCTTATTGGGATATTCGGTAAAATTCAAAGCCATTTATTACAAAACCGAATGTTTTTTTTTGAAAATTATCTGGTGAATCAAGGCTGACAGAATGACCACTTTAAGACTAGGCACAACAGCGGTTCGCCGTGATGAGCTGTACAGCTCGTATGTTGGTCCTATCCCACGTGGATAAATGATCTTAGGTACCAAAATGTGAATTTAAAACAGCAATATTCAAATGTTACTAACAAGATTTCTTTGTTCAACATAAATTGTGCCATAGTTTTTTATCCAGAACCTAGGATATCAAAAACTCTACCACCTGACCACCCAAAAATTCATCCCTTTTGGATCTTTCTTAAGGAAATTCAGTTTCTGCTTATACTACTTTGGTATACTGCTTATACTTTACCCTTTTTTGTAAACGCAACTTTGGCGCAAATATACAACAACTTTGAGCGGTAGCGCGCTAAAAAACGCAGTTTGTTGTCAAATTTTTCCAAAGTGGGCTCTAAAAACGTCTTTTTGGCGCAAAAAATTTGGTTAAACAGACTCTTTGTGTCTAGATGGGCGAGAATAGCCCAAACAAATTTTTTTAACAACCGTTCCAAAAATTCCAGGCAGAAATGTGAATATGTGAAATGTGAAAGTTCTGATTTTATATTTTCATTGAGTTTATATGTTAAATTGTGCTATGAGCACTTTGTTTCATTCGATGTCAACCGGTGGGGTAAAGCAGAAAAATAAACCTTTTTTCCAGTTTTCTTCGTTTTGAAATTCTGAAATCTAGTTATTGCAACACATATCCCGAATTGAGATCCCATAGTTGAACCCATAATGAATTTAGAAGTGATCTTTGATAATCAAACTTTTCATTTTGAGATATCAAAATATGCTCTTGTTTAAATTCAAAGTCAACATTCATCCCTTACAGGGTCAACAGCAGAGATTTGTTTATTTTGCAATCAAAATGCCATCTAAAGTTATTCTTTTTATTTTTCTTATTATTTTCAGCCCCGAAAATTATGGTAAATTGAACTTTAAGCAGTTTTTGCAAGATTGAGTAAATGTTTTGCAAAACCTTCTTGCGTGAAAAAAAAGTCGTTAACTTGATGACATAAAAATAAAAACATGATATTTTAAAAAAGATATTTTCAAACTAGTTTTTTCTTACCTTGGATCCAAAATGAAGTAGCCTGTGTAGTAAAATTTAACTTCCTTAAAATTTTTAAATATGAGTTTTAACTTATTTAGTACCAGGACATAATTTTGTACGTAAAAATTAAAAACTAAAATCACGTAGTCTGGTTGCATCTGAGATTTTTTTGCGCCATATTTTCTGGTGAAAGAATGATGTTATCCTTCTGTTTTGTAGGAATTCTGCCTTCAGACTGCACTGCAGCATCCACTTCCAGTAGTACTCTCTCTTACCGCCAGTCACATGACTTCATCTTGCCAGATGTAAATGAAGAACTCGGCAGGAAATGCCAACGCTTCAGGTACGCTTTTATCGATTGCCAAAGCACGGAAACTCCCCTCCAACTACCACGGTTTTATACTAGCGTCTCTCCTTCACTCCGGGTAGCTCTTTTTACTAAAAGGAAAAGTAGAAAAGCCAAATTTTTCTTAAAATTCCGCTCAAAGTCATCCCTTTTGGTAACAACACTCTTAAAGTGATGAAAAAACTCAGTAGCTTGCCGCTTTACGTCCCACAAATGAAATCGGCATTTCATACAGGTCTTTTTCTCTCAATTGCGACCAAACACCGCATTGTACAATCTTTAATTTTCATTTGACGAATTTTCGAACATGCCTTTCTTGCATCGTTGACTGATATAGAACACGACCTAGTTGCGTCTTTTGGGTAAATTATTATAAAAGAAGAGCGAATAAAGTTTTCATTCTAAATCAGATAGATGAGCAAATTAAACTGCATTTATTCCAGTGACTATTTCTGTCTGATGGCGGTGTGGCTGAACACGCGCCTCACTAATAGGGAGCCTCAGCAGGACGACGCAGAACAGTTCAGGAAACTTGTGGAGCCGAATTACAAGAACCTCAACTGGTACTCATTCCGTGAAAACGACATCAGCAGCTGTGAGTTTTCGTCAAATGACCTCAAATTTTTGTCGGGCTTATAGCGTTCCTGGTACTAGCAAGCAGTGCCGAGAGGAAAAGGTGAAATTCCTCATCTCTCATCCCCATCTGGTTTCCTCAGAACAAAATTTCAAAAAAATACCATTTTTTCAAAAAAAAATACCCCCGGCGCATAGTTTTTTCCTTTAGTTGGGTCAATCTTAGTAGTTTTTGTTCGCGATTTAGTTTTAGTTTTGTTCATTCAGACAAACAAAATTAGAGAATCAGTTTTCTTTGAAATATTCTATCTGTTTTTAGTTTCGGAGGGATGTTGTTCTCACCAGGTGGACTCTTACATTCAGTATGGCCAGAAAAACGGACTGTCTCCTCAAGAGTACTATGATAAAGTGTTCAAAATTGGAAGGGTGACTGATAAACAGCTCGTGTTCCTCAAGGTTCTGCTTTCACCTTAAAAATGTTAAAAATCTTAAAGAGAGCTTCGAGTACTTAATAACTTGGCGTTCAAACGTTAACCTATAGTTTCTCTCGACTCAATCCGTACCCCTACCCCTATCTCTTCTCTCTATCTACCTGTCCTCTCGTTCTCTATCTATCTATCTATTTCCCCCTTTCCTCTCTCCTCCTCTCCTCTCCTCTCCTCTCCTCTCTCTCTCGAAATATCTCTCTCTCTTGTCTCTCCGTTTTTCTCTCTTATCTCTCTTCTTTTTGCCTCACTTATGAGGTGATCGAATAACTCACATTTATCAAGCACTTCATATTGCTGTGAGCAGCATAGATGAATTGATTTAACACAAATATATCAAATCAGGGACGGATTTGAGGAGGACCGAGCTAACAACCAAAATTCTCAATGAGCTAACTTTGAAAAAAACTTTTAGTATAGAGCGTCGGTGCTAATGTACATATTTTGATAGGATTAGCGTGCAGCATTTTTATCGAATGCTTGCGTCACAGAACTTTTTGTCTTGTAAACCTGTCTCCGTCGTGTAAACCCGAGATTTGCATCTCGACCTAACTATGATGTGAACTATTGCTTTTCGCCTCCATCAAACCAAACTTTGTACTGTGCAAGCTAAAATCATGAAATGGAGAGGGTTTGCAATTTTAGATACTACCCATAATTTTTAAAAAAAATTGGCTGCTTGTATTTAGGTGTTACATCGGTAACTAATCTGATCGCCTCATGTTTAACTTTAAATAAACAATTGGGAAAAAAACTAAAAGAACAGTAATTTTGTTGATATAAATTTTTTAACATTTTTAAATTGAGATTTTTGCGAATTGCGGAGGACCTATTAAAAGCCGGTTGAGCATGGTCCGTATGTATGTATTTCCCCCCACACTTCCGATTGCTAACTTTTTCAGCGAGGCAGTTTTGTTTCAACTCAATCTCGTGTTTTCTGCGTTAGGAGTTTTCACATAGTACCAAGATTGCAGCCGATATCAGTCAGGTTGTTGTAAAATTGCAGTAGAATTTCGTCGAGCTGAATCAATTGTTTCTTACTCAATTAGCATGATTTATTTCAAATCGATATCATTTTAGAGCCAACTTGATTCACTATTTACGCTACGAAAATATTAGCACTGAAAACTTTAATCGCAAAAAATCTACGCCTCTCTTTTAGCAAAATAGACTGAAGGCGACTTGTTTTGACTTGTACGTTGGTTGTAGAACAATCGAAAATTTCTAAATAAAAAACAGCAGCGAGCACTACATTTCGAAAGAAGTACATTGAGCCAGTTGTAATAACTCACTTTTGTTCGGAATTATCAGCTGAGCAATCGAAAAGATTAAGCAAAGAACAGTTTCGAGAAATGGACACAATTTTTGCATTAGCTCTTTCAGCAAATTTCCGAAATTTAGTCGGCATAAATTCGCAATTTGCAACTGGAATTTTTCTATACTGTGAAAATATTCTATACTGTTTCCATCTTTGAAAATATTATGAAATTTTATCGCTAATAATTATTACAATGTTGATTGTTCCGACAATTTTTGAAAAAAAAACGACGGAAAATTTGTGCGCTGCAAAGTTTATTTTTTTCAGACAAATTTCGATTTCACAAACAATTTTGACGGAATTTTTAAAATCGAGTTGTCTTAAGCTCAAACTTTAAAAAAAAATAGTTTACCTGTGATTTTTTGTAAAGTTATGGGTGTATGAAGATTACCTATTTGGCCAACTTGGGACAATCAACGAGCGACAGATTTCCGTGCTTAATGAACAATTAATCATCTTAGAAATCGTTCCAAATCGAATTGAGGCATAATAGTTAAGATATTTATTACTTTTCCATATGCAAAATATATCATTTTGTACCTTACATAGCGTGTAGGGGGATGACTTTGAAAAAAAATCAAAACTTTTCGGATTTTTTTTATTTATCCATTTGTTTTAAAGTGAACACTACTCCGTCGACCAAAAAGCGGCCGGAATAATCAGTGCTTCGCCCTGATATGGACAGTTTTTTTTAATTTGCGAAAAAAAACTGGAGTCTCTAAACTTGTGCTTCGCCAATTTCCTTAAATTTAAACAAAAAAATGATGATTACAAAAATGGTGTATAGTTTTACCAGAGATGATATTAAATTGTGCAATTGGAGACAGCTTCTACATCAAAAATGATTCGTTCTTAGCTCCTATCAACCAAAAGAAGTTAAAGTTAAATTTATTTGGTTAATTACTGAGCAAATTGTACTAAAGAGAGCTTCCTATATAGCCCAACAAAAACTATTGAAATTAAAATGTACAAAAATAATAACGCAAAAGTCAGAAAAAATTTTCACATAGAAAATGGCTTTTACGATACAAAGAAGACGTTTTTTGGCTACCAATAGAGAACATTATTTGCTTAACATTTAGGAGACAACGCTCTTCTTACTTTTTAAGGGCTGATTAAGAAACTTCTTTTGATGATATTGACTCAGCAATTATTTTCTTCGGCTTCATTTTTTAATTTGACATTTGACTAAGATATGACAAGATAAACCGGTTTTGAGGTAAACATATGCGCCCCAAATTCAAGTTGCGCTTTTTCAAATTTGGTAAGAGTTAGGCAGTTTTTGCTCCAATCTTTTTTGTCTTATCTTACGTTAATTTGTAAGATATCAAGTCTTAAATATCAAAATCTCATAGTATTTTTGTTCAGTTAACTTATATTTTCACTGTATTTTAGTAACCTATGTAGCCTAAGAAAAAACCCTTTCGGGTTGTACTGTTTTCGTGAATTCCATCAATGAGTAGATCTAGAAACCCTGTAGTTGGACCAATTTAAAATTTCAGCCCGATTTTGCAAATGTGTTGCGCCGTTTTAAAAATAACAAATGTCTAACAATTTTTGAGCACGTATTTTTTGTGTAAGGCCAACCGAGTAACTTAAATCAGGACTGTATTTCAATAGCCTATTAGCCGAGAAAAATTGAAAATCCAACCGGATTGTACTTTTTTGTTAGCTATCAGTAATTAGATTTAAAAATGAGTTGAATGGACCAATCAACACTCCCTAAAAATTGTGTTTTTTGTTCCGAATTTCGATACGAAAGTAACGGAATATTTGTGCTCGGGGTTGGTTTTTTTTTCTTCAGACAAATTTCGACTTTTTAACTAGCCATTTTTGACGGATTTTTTTTATATCATTCAAAAAGTATTGTTGTCCTGAGCTTAAATTTGAAAAGATATTTCACCTGTGATCTTTTTTCGTAAAGTTATGAGGGTTTAAAGATTGCCATTTGGGCCATTTTGACAAATTTGGGACAATTAACGCGCGATATAATTCGCGCTATTAACGAGTAAGCGGCGGAGATTTAATCCGTCTTATAAATCGTTCCAAATTGGTTGAACGAAGCTTATTTGCCATAATTGATGTGTTACAAGGAACGAAAACTATCTTTTTGTACTTTATATGGCGTGTGGGGGGATGATTTTCATTAAAAAAATTCAAATTTTAGGAAAAACTTTTTTTGTGTTATTTTATTTCATATAATATTTTTATGTTATTACTGCTGCTCCATAAACCTTCAAAAGCAGTCGGAACATTCAGGGCTTCGCCCTGATACGAGCAGTCTTGTTTTCTTTAGTGCTCAAAAGTTTCGATATTGGCAATCATTACTCAACAAAAGTTGTCGCATAAGACCCACAGCAAGGAATTCTAGTCATCTCTCTTTTCACCGGGCTTAAAATGATTTTCAAAACGTTTGTCTTGTTTGAGTTGGTTTTTCATGCTTTTGCTTAGATAACTAGCTTGTTTGGACATAGTTCAAAATTAGTGAGCCGAATCAGTGGAAGGTTATTACTTATTTTTCTAATCTTTTCCGAACCAATTCCATACCTTGTTTTGAAGCCATGATAGGATCCATTAACAAAAAGTTACCAAAAACTGAATTTAAATATCAATAATTATTTTTAATTTTTCAGCCTTAAAACCTTTTGATTGGTTATTACGATGAAGACTTTTGAATATAAAAAATTAAAGAGAGTAAATTGCTTAACAAGAAAAACAGAAAACTTTGATGGAAACGTTGATGCAAATTTGTTACCAATGCCTTCCAGCATCTAAGAAAAGAGTATAACAGATTTTTGAGGTTATCAAAATAACCGATTCCCATGTTCCACCACTCAAACAACAAAATGGATTAGAAAAATTGACTATAATCCATTATTTTCATCAAATTTAGAAATTAAACCTAATTCATTTAAAGTCAAATAAAAATGTTTTGTTTTTCAATTTATTTTCGTTTACGGTCGTGCACAATTTTGCAAAGGGAGTGTAGTGTCGTCTCAATTTTAAATCTAAATTTTCTTTAATTGCTAAACGATTCCGTTAACTTCATCCCTACACCCCCTAACGTTTTTCCCTTTGCCTCCTTCACAATCCCCGCCCCACCTCAACATTTGCCCTTTTGCCTTTTGCCACCTTCGTCCCTTGCTATTGTCACCGCCTCCCACCTGAACCACCAACCCCCTCCCCCACATGAATTACCCTTTGCCTACCTAAAACCTCAACCACCCCACCCCACCCCACCTGAACCAGCCCCCTAACATGAACCACCCCTCTCCCACCTGAACCATCCATCACCTGAATCAACCATCCCACCAAAACTAAATCTCCTCCCCTAACCGAGTTTCATACTTGACCCCCCTTCCCTTCCCAAGCGTTTCGACTAATTTTTTTATTCAATTTTTTGAGAAGAAGGGAGCAAAAACTCCAGAGACGATCCCTTCCAAAACAGTCAACCTGCAATTTGAGGCCAAACCCCACCAAGTTTTTAATTAGTTTAAGAAAACTGTTGAAATAAACAAAATTGAGAAATTGAATAACATAAAAAGTGTAACAAAAATCAAAGTTGGGCAGAAAAAGCTTGAAATTGACCCCTTAGTAACCAACTTTAGCTTTAAGTGTAGAAAAAAATAGATGTTATTTGCGTTGAAATTAGCATCTTAAAATAGTGGAAAAAAATGATTATAAAAAAAGTTTTATTATCTATAAAAATATAAAACAATCGATTATACTAATTGAAAAAATTAATTTGCAATGGATTGAAATGCTTCATAAAACTAAAACAAAATGAGCCATTTTTAATTGAATACAATGATTTGTTTTTCACTCATATAGGTACTGACAAAAATTTCAAATTTAATCCGTTTTCATCTACGGAACTCCAGTGCCGCCTGCTCAAAACGAGTCTTAAAATAGAACTTTTTTTGATTAACTAACTATTCGCGAGACAGCTTTTGAAATCTTTTTGGACTTATTTTCGAAATCCTAAGCACAATCAACATTTTGGAACTTTAAATTTCAATTATGCTATCAGTTTTTAATAGTGGTGCCATCATAATTTGCGTGGGAAAATTTTTACCTTGTTTGGTGTACTGAAAGATTTGTGTTACTATGATACCTTTGAAAGAAATTTTATTTATCTTAGGTGTTGGATGGAAATACTATTTATCTGCGTTTACCTGGTTGGTGTACAGATAACTCTATGTTTCATTAATAGCTTTGAGGGAAATATTATTCATCTTAGGTGAAAATTGAACTGAAAATTTTACCTTGTATTGTGTACCGAAAACTCTATGTTTCTTTGATATTATTGAGGGTCATATTTTTTATCTTAGGTGAAAATTGAACTGAAAATTTTACCTTGTATGGTTTACCGAAAGTTCTATGTTTCTTTGATATTATTGAGGGAAATATTATTCATCTCAGGTGAAAATTGAACTGAAAATTTTGCCTTGAATGGTGTACCGAAAATTCTATGTTTCTTTGATAGTTTTGAGGGTAATATTTTCTATCTTAAGTGTTGTATGGATCTTTTTGTTTCACATGCTAAGCGCCGCGCATTCAAGTTGCTACGCCTCTGATTAATTAGCGTGTCTCATTTCATTTCAATTTAAATTGAATGCGTCGTGGGAACTAATCATCGCCTTTGACATTCGTTAAAAGATAATTTGGAAATATCGCTCGCATTAAGTATTCCAAATGGACCAAAATGGCGTTTTTGAAACATACACATAAGCTCACACTTAAGATAATTAGATCCTTAAGCGATTTTGAACAATTTTTAGGCTAGATGGGTGCCATCCTTGTGCATGAACGTCATCAATCAAGTAGGTTTTGGATATGGAAGTCTCAAAATTATCGGAAACCCAAAACTCAGCAGGAACTTCATAGTGCCTCCCGTCGGAAACGAAGACCTTATGATGGTGGTGCCCAAAAATCAGGTTGGAAAGTATCAGTCTTTTACTCTAAGCAGCTAACAAAAGTCTGAGTCTGCAGAATTATAATTAATGCAAAATTTGAGGAAAAGTTTGTCTACGATTGATGTCCTTTTGACAAACAGAGTAAACTAAATCGGCAGACAGTACTGAAACATTTTTCACAAAACTACCCATAATGAGTGTAGGCTCAGCTGAAAAGATAATTTCTCATAATCAAGAAATAGTCCCCTCAGTGTCAAAGTAGGTTGAAGTCCAAATCCAAAAAATCCAATAAAATTTTGAAGCTATTTTTTTTAACTGTTGCAGCTTTTACCTAATTCAACATTCTCTATCAATACCAGGTAGAAGTTAGCGTAGCTGGTTGCTGTGCAAGTAGCACAAAAATTCCTATCAAATTCATAAAAAAAAACTATTTTTTTTTATTTCAATTGAACGTTTTAGCGTGGTTTGAATGATTGTACGAAAGCCTACAACTTAAACACTTTTGACATTCTTTCTAAAATTGTCAAGATGACAAAATTGCACCAAAAACTTCAAAAACTGTTTATTAGAGAAACTTATTTTTCATGGTTTGAACAGGCTTATCTTTTTTCTATAGAAAACCAATTCTAGGCCTGCTCGTCCGCTTTATTCGCTCGAAATTAGACAAAGAAAAATAAAAAAACTTCAAATTGGTTTTTCTCGACACTGAGAGAGGATTTAAATTTTTTAAAGTACTTCGAATTACGACTGGATACCTGATATTGAACGGAAAATGTTCGTCCCCATTTTGGAGACAAGTCGCAACAAAAAAAAACATTAAAAATTGGAAAAAGATCATTAACCAAGGAAAACAAAAAAATAGGTTCTTTGAACTTCAAGAAAGCTTTATGAATTATTATTTGTGTTTTTTGAGTGATTCAGCATAAAGTTATAGTTTATGCTTTTCGGGTATTATCTTAGGGTGATTTGAACCATATGTAAAATAAATGCTTTTTAGATGTAAAAAAAGTTTTCTCATCTGTGAATATTTTAATTTGGCGTCAAAAGCAAAAAAAGGGGTTGATATTGAAAAGAAACTTTCATAGATTGACCTTGTCTTACAGCGGCACGAACGTGCTCGAGGTATATTTTTACCATCATCGATTATGTTTCCGCCGTGCACGAGGAACGGTTCAACCGTGCTTGAGATATGTTTCGACCGTGCTCGAATAAATTTGGCTTTTTTTTCAAGCGTGCTCAACCGAGTTTTGGTATATTTCGATCGTGTTTGAAGTTATGGGTATTTTATGTGTTTGCACCCTATCTTGATTATGCTTTTTTGGTAGAGCAGTGGCATTGTGCTCGACTTTGAAATTTGAAATTCCAACTGAGCACTTTTACCCCAGCACTTAAACAAGGAAATGGATATTCTGCTCAAATTAACAGCGTTAAGTTCTGTTCACAGTTTTTAAATTTTTTATGGGTTATTGTTCCGACTTTCGATACGAAAGTAACGGAATATTTGTGCTCGAGGTGGGTTTTTTTTCTTCAGACAAAATTCGACTTTTTAACTAGCCATTTTTGACGGAACTTCTTAGATCATTCAAAAGGTATTGTTGCCCTGAGCTTAGATTTGAAAAAATTTTCCACATGTGATCATTTTTTTAGTAAAGTTATAAGGTTTGAAAGATTGGCATTTTGGCCAATTTGAGACAATTAACGCGCGATATATTTTGCGCTTTTAACGCGTAAGCGGAAATTTAATCCGTTCTAGAAATCGTTCTAGTTTGGTTGAAAAAAGCCATCGCCATAAATAATTGTTACTAGCAGCAAAATCTATTCTTTTGTACTTTTTATGGCGTGTGGGGGGATGATTTTCACAAAAAAGTTCAAATTTCAGAAAAAAAAATTTCATTTTGTTTTATTACATTCAATTGTTTTATGTGATTACTGCTCCATAAACCTTAAAAGGAAGTCGGAACATTCAGGGCTTCGCCCTGATACGAGCAGTCTTGTTTTATTCAATGGTCAAAACTAAAACTGTCATAATTAACCTACTACATTCAATTAAATAACCACTTGCACATTAAACGAGCAATACTGCTCTTTAACATACTCCCAAAAAACTTATTTTGAAACTCGTCACGCAGCGTAATCCTCGTTTTCTTCCACTCTTTATCAAGCGCATTATTTTAGGTGAAAGACACTTTATCCTTCTCCTGGTTTTTGGTTAATTTGGTCTGTCGAGAGAAACCCCATTGGTGTCCCGAGGAGTGGCTGGCACTGCAAACAGCGAAGCAGGTTGCTGTTTTTCCAGCAGAACCAGCACCCGAAAGGCGTCCTAGAAGAAACCTAGCAGAAATGGAATTGGAGACATGGTTTATTAAAGAAAACAACGAATCAGCTCAGCTCATTGTCGTGTAACAACCGTCAAAAAAACCGCAAAACCAAAAGACAATTAAAGCTGAGAAAGATAGTTTATTCTTTTATGACAAAACTCTGACAAAAGTCCCAATGTACATTTTGGATGTCCTGGATATTAATACCAGCTTTTTGAACATTTTTTGACAAGGAAAAAATTTTCAGAGGAAAGTTAAATTAATAAAAAATCGTTTCTAAGAAATCTGCAAATTGAAATCTATCATTTCTTTAGTTCTCTAATTACGCTATCCTGTTCATATTTTGTTTTCAAACCATTTTTAGTGAAATTTTTTGTTTTCAAAAGCAGACAATGAAAACCAGACCTGGGTCAGTCATTTAATGAGTTGAAAATGAATAGTAAGAGCTGAAAACTAAAATGACCTGTGCAGTTAGGACAGAAGGCTCTGACCGCGGTAATCATTCGCAGGCAAAAGAAAAATAGTTGACAAACATATTTTTAAAATTTGAAAAATCTAATTTTTTTATTTATCTTTTGTAGTTTTTTGATAATAGAGGAAAGTTTCACGAGGTAATAACGGGGGCGTTCTTAATTACTAATTTATTATTATTATTTTTAAATTTCATAGATATTTGATGTGCGAAAATGGTATCAACGAAAGGAGCCTTTTGTTTAGTTTTTGTGTCCAGAGCAGTTTTGAACTTCTTTCATCAAAACTAAATAGTTGAAACCTAGGATTTTTTTCTACATCGCCGTTGACCTCGACTTTCGACTTGTGTATTTCTCATGCTATAGCGTTAGTATTTCCCGGCGACATTTTACTTTTCGATCTTTAAACCATGAAGTTCGCTCGAGAATTGGGGCTCTAAGCTTGGGTTCAAAAAGAATCTGTTCTTTTTCGGTTGGTGAAAAAGTCTAAGATGTCGATGGGTCTTTTGCGATAACTGTAACAAGAATATTTTCGCGCGTTTTTCCCATTCGCTGAGAGGTTCTTGCGTCGTTACTTCTCCGCCGAAAAGTTTGATTCGTTATTTTCCGCCAAAAAATTTGATCATCATCGGAAAAATGATTCGTTAGACAACGGTGAAGACTGTGGTTGAAAGTTCTAAGCTAATGAAAAAATTAAGTCGACTGAAATTTTTTTAACAAAGAGTATTGCAATGTATGAAAGTAGTTTTAATGTAGTTCAGCAAGAATGTTGGCCGTATCTTCCAAATAATTTGATACATCACCCAAATATGACTAAATTTTCTCAGGCATACAATTTCTTCGCAGTCCCCTGACACTTTTGGGTAACAGTGCTTAAGCGCCACGACTTAAGCGGCGCGACTTAAGAAAAGACTGGCCGCGCGACTTAAGAAAAGACTTAAACGGAGCGACTTAAGAGAAGACTTAAGCGGCGCGACTTAAGAAAAGACTTAAGCGGCGCGACTTAAGAAAAGACTTAAGTTGCGCGACTTAAGAAAAGACCTAAGAGCGCGACTTAAGAAAAGACTTAAGCAGCGCTACTTAAGAAAAGACTTAAGCGGCGCGACTTAATAAAAGTTCAAGCGGCTCGACTTAAGAAAAGACTGACGGTGCTACTTAAGAAAAGACTGACGACGCGACTTAGAAAAGACTGACGGAGCGACTTAAGAAAAGACTGACGGCGCGACTTAAGAAAAGACTGACGGCGCGATTTAAGAAAAGACTGACGGCGCGACATAAGCACGCGGCGCGACTGCGAAATCCAGTCTCAAAACGGTATGCGGCACGACTTACAAAGTCTTTCCGTAAGTCGTGGACCTCGAATACAACGCCTATCAGTTATTGCCTATCGAAAAAATAGAGAGTTCTGCGAAAATCGTTTGTGTTTGGATTATTGCGCATGGGTCGAGTAATGAGCGTTTCTGAGTTTTCAAAAGTCAAGTTTGGACAGATTTGATCCAGCTGAAAACAAGTTGGGCGGAGAAGGCAGTGAAAATGGTAAACGGTTTCCAGCATCAAAAAACACTTTTTTTAACTTTTCTGATGAAATTGGATCCCCCAGTACTGTACTAATGATTGTAAACGAGTCTTATTTGTTCGCAGAAACCATTCACCATAACAGCTGCCCGTTCCGATGAACTATTTCAAACAAAAGTTTCCGAAAAGGACTGTAACTATCCGATCGCGGGTAAAACTTGTGGTCGCAAGTAAAAGGACAAACAACCCAAGGATATGACCCTGGACAAATATTTAAAACGTTTCGATCATAAATAGGTACTTTTTAGTCATTTCTTGTCTAGTCTGGTTATTTTTGAAATAAAAATTGAAAAAATTTTAAAAAAAAAAACTTAAAAAAATAGCACGTTTTGAAAATCAGAAAAATGAATTAAATAAACTAGAAATAACAACCAACAGATATTGGTATCCAAACCAGTCACGCAAAAGTGAACAGAGAAAAAAGACAAAATTTAATGCATTCTTTTTGAATCTAAATGAATTATTTTGTAAGCAAAAAAGATTTAATTTTTCTCCAAAAATTAGCCGATTGTAATGGATTATAATCAATTATGAAGAGGTATCATTTCTTAGGAAAACGGTAGCTTTTTGGTTGGTTATAATTGATTATTTAGCAATTTTAGGAAGATTGTCTATGAAACGACAACATAATTGATTATTAACTTTGGAAATCCGGTGCAAGTTAGATTTCTGACTGACACTTTTGATAATTTTAGCCGCGTCAACTGCAATTTTAATGGTTTTCTGTTAGTAATAAAATGTTATGATGTTCTAACTAAAAAGCTGGAAATACAATAAGAAAGTAAAGAAAAAAGTTCAATTAAAATATGTGTTATGGAGGAAACCGCTAGCGTTTCCGCTTGGCGGAGGAAGAAGTTTAAACTAAATCACAACTAACTAATTTGTTCGTAAGAAAGCGCTTTACAAAAGAAATTCTAAATGGTAATTATGAAGTTTTAGGAAGGCTACGTTTCAAAATTGCAAATTTACCCAGCGGAAATGTCTCGTTGAGTTTAACTGTGTTGAATTTTCAATATTATTAAGGAGATTTTGTAATACTAAGGGATGGTTCAAACTGTTTTTTGTGCCAACTGAAGGATATGCGACGAGATACTAAATGAATGTTGAACTTAAATCCGATGAATTTAATCGGAGAATTCTACGATACAAAAAAGAACACTTCCTATTTGAAATTATTAATGAGATGATCAGATTTACACAATTTCTGGGATCAAGGGTACTAATAATGGGCTATATTTCAATTAGCGCTTACAAAAATTGAGATCCCAGTCAAGTGCACTTTGGGGCGGTTGCCGGAATCATGTTATTCAAGCATTCTTCTGATGCTCACTCTGTGTTCAAATCTAAATCTACAGAACCCGATTCAATTTGGTTATCCGTTGCAGTTGGTTCTGGGTTATATTTTACTACTGGATTTGAGTGGTCACTAAGAAGCCTTGCTCTGGCTACGTCCCTACACGATTAAAGGGTATAAAATTTGATTCCTTTTCAGCAAAGAAACCTGGGGAGAAATTTTAGCTCTCTCCGGTAGGAATCTCTGTTGGTTTCGGCTTCTGTTGATTTTCTTGAGGTCATTCTGATTTTTGTTACAATGTCCGATGAAAAAATTGATACCATTTGTTGTTTTCTGGGGCCCATTCTCTTTTTCTTCGACACTATTTCACAAAAATGATTAAAATCTTTTATTGTAGCACATCTTTTAAAAATTTTTGGATGTCCAAAAACTTCTAGGAACGTTTCAAAAGATATTATTTTTCATGACAGATTTTACTAATCACTACATAGTCTAGTTGTCTTCTTGATGGAACTTTTCGCCGAATCTTACTGGGGGAAGATGGACTTGACTCTGAGTCGTACCCTTTGTCTTCTGGTTGTCTACTTTTGTTTTCCTAAGGGGTTTTAAAGTGTCCGTCCTCCACTCTGTCGTCTGCCGCGCTATCATTTGACAAAAAAGGTTTTCCGTTGTCTAAAATGCCACTATTGTTTTGACTGACAAAGTTTTTCCAATGAATATTTGGTTTTCTGTTGAACTTTTTTTCGAACGATTTAATACGTATGTTCGATTGAATGGTGCTCCTTAAATTCCAGATAATTTTTGAAACCGAATCTATTAGTAAAAGTTTAGTTGTTTCAGAATGTTTGCAGTTTTAGTTGTTAAGAAATCGTTTGCAGTTTTAATTTGACATTATATTCAAATGTTTCTATTTGTCCATCTGAAAGATGGTCAGGCACTGTAGAAGAAAAGATTTTACGATTCTTCGAATCAAAAAATAATTTGAAATCGGTCCCGGTTTAACGTGACTCTTAATCAACCCTAATCGATTTTGAAAATCCAGATATTTGAATAGAATCAGTCAGGAAATCGATAACTTTTTTGGCAGAAGCACTTGAAGTGATTTTTGCCTACGGAAGTTTTGAGTATCTATCCATACATGACACGATTTTTTTTAAGAGCCTTAACTTGAATCCAATAGACCTGGGTCTTCAATTACAAAATTTTGTTCATGGAGCCGGTGGTAATTTTTTCAGATATCAAGAGCTTAAGTTTTTAACTGATTTGAAGCAATCTGAACAATTGATCTAACGGAACTTTATCTTGCTGTTAATATGTGGCCACCGGACGCATTCCGAAAAGTGTTTAACCCCTATTGCCCTAGATGAGAACCTCGTAGTAATTTCACGGCCGCTGTTTTGAGTACATAGGGTAAACATAAATTAATGGTTATATAACAAATCGTTTGCAGTGTGATGATAATTGTAAAACTGTTGAAACTAGAAACCATAATTAGTGGTATGTAATCACCTTTTCTCTTCCAAAGCTGTAGCAGAATGTTGCCTTCTTCAGTGAGTAACGGATCTTTTTTTTTTGATATAAAGTTTTTTTTCAATTCTAACGTCTTTCTTTCAATTTGAGAGAATCACGCTGATTTTTTTGCTAATGGTTTTTGATCGGATGAAATTGTTTTGACAGCAAAATTTACGCTAATAGCGGATGAAGAGGGTTAATTAAAACTCCACTGTTTGCATTTACCGTAATTAAAACTGTAGATTCCATAGCAAAAGTTAATAATTTTGAAAACGACAAAATTTTTT